TGTACCTGGGAGGAGAGGGATGGTGAGAGGTGGTGGAGGAAGGTCCCATGGGAGGGACCCCACCAGTGCTCACCAGTAGAAGCTCTGGAAGACGGGCAGCGAGATGTTCTTGGCCAGGTTCTGGATCTCCTTCAGGTGCCCAGTGAGGGGGTCAAACAGCACCCGGAGATACTGCAGGGTTGGGATGGCAGCAGCTTCAATGTCTGCCCCAGCTCCCCCAGTTACTGCAGCACTGGTTTAACTGGGACAAGGGAAATGGGGCTCCACCAAACCCCAGGCCGGGCCCATGCCTCGTTGTGGATGTCCCATGGCTGTGGCAGCACCGGCGGCTGGATGGGGGGAACATGGGGGTCCCCATGGGGTGACCGTGTCACTGTGAAGGTACTGAAGCCCAGAGCGGGTGCCGAGGCTTGAAACAGCAGCTCCTGCATGGCCCCAACATCATTCCCACGCAGCCCATGGGTGACAATGGACACAGGGACAATCTGGGAACAGGGCACAGGGTGAGCTGGGGACACGGGGACAAGGTGGGGGGACACATGGGGTCCGGGCTCACCTCGCTTGGCACGGGCTGGCCACGGGGGTCTGTGACCGTGTAGGACACCCCATGGACCGGCAGGCGGATGGGCCAGGACACGCGGCGCCCCAGCGGGTTGTAGAGGAGGACAAGGAACTGGGGACACAGGGACAAGGGCCGTGAGCCCTGCCTGGTCCCCTCCAAACCCTCCCAGGTCCCCCCGGGTCTCCACTCACCCGGCTGGAGGCCTCCGTCAAGGGGCAGATGCTGACGTTAAGGCTGTTGCAGAAAGTGAAGGTCTCCTTGGTGCCACTGAGGCTGGACAGGGCATTGGAGACCAGGAGCTGGCAGAAGGGGGGACACATGAGGGTCCCCCCATGGCTCACCCAGTGGGTCCCCAAAGCACCAGCCAGGGGCAGGGGCTCAAGCACTAGCTCCTGTCCCCCACCTCCACACTCCATGAACATGATGATGTCACCCCAAACCCCATCTGTGCTCCCCCAAACTCCATCTGCACCCCAACCTCAGCAGCGGGGCCCTACCTGGCACCTCTCCCACCCCATTGCCAACTGCTTGGCGTAGTCATTGGCCACATGCTGCTTCTCAGTGCCGGTCACAGCATCGTGGTGCTGGGCCACGGCCACAGCTTCACCTACCAGGGGACAAAGGAGACATTAAGGGGGTGCAGGGGGGGTCCCACGGGTCCTACCCCAGCACTTACGGAGCACAGAGCTGTCCCCAGGCCCGTAGGGACCATCCCGTGCTGCTGGTCCTGCCAGTGCCTCCAGTTGGCTGCAGATCTGTGGGATGGATGGAGGGGTTGAGATGGAGGGTCCAGCCCTTGGGAGCACATGGTGGGAGAGCTGGGAATGAGAGCCTGGAGATGGGAAGGCTCCAGGGAGGGCTTAGAGCAGCTCCCAGTGCATAAAGGGGCTGTAAGAGAGCAGCTTTGGAAAAGCGATGGGATGAGGAAGAACAGCTTCCAAGTGGAAAAAGGAAGAGTTAGATGGGATATAAGGAAGCTCTTCCCTTTAAGGGTGGTGGGACACTGAGATGGGTTGAAGAGAGAGGGTTGGGATGAACCATCCAGGTTTGACAGGCCTTGGAGCAACCTCCTCTAGTGGAAAGTGTCCCTGCCCATGGATGTAGGAGCTGGATGAGCTTTAAGGTCCCTTCCAATCCACCCCATTCCATGCTTGTGATGGGGCCAGGGACATTCCCACCTGCAGGAAGTTGTTGCTGAGGCGCTCATAGCGCTTCAGGGCTGGGCGGCTGCTGAAATAACCTGTCCAGAACTGGTGGGGCCCATCCGAGTAAGGGAAGAAATCATCCATCTTCAGGGACCTGAAGGGAAATCCAGGCTGTATCCATGTATCCTTCCATCCCACCCCAAGCCCAGGGTCCCCCTTCATCCTCTGAGCCTCACCAGGAGAGGTTGGCCTGGTGCAGCTCCCACAGGTAGCAGGATGGGGTGGAATAGAGGACGTGGACACGGCTGCCATTGGCTTGCTGGAAAAGCCATGGATGGGGTGAGATGGGGGTGGGGGGGGATGACAGCAAACAGGGGGGACATGGCAGGGGGCCCCCGCACCTGGGCATTAACGTGGGCAATGAGCTTGTCCATGTTCTTGAACCAGAGGTTGGCATTCTCATAGTGGAAATCGGAGCCCATTGTCATGATGATGTGGTTGGTGCGATAATGCTTGGCCTTGGGGGGGAATGGACACAAGGATAGGTCAGGAACCCCCCCAGTCCCATGGGATACCCCCTCAGATGTAACCAGTGCTTGGATACCCACCTGCTTGGTGGCGATGTCCAGGAAGGTGGAGACGATGGAGGCCACGTTGTTCTCCTCGCTGTCCCCATCCACCATGGGGGGGTCGGAGCAGAGCTGGTCCCAGCAGAAGCCCGTGGGGGGGTTGTAGACGTTGGGGAGGATGCCTGGGGATGGTCCCCCCCTTCGTCAGCATGGGATGGGGTGGCTGGGGTGGGTACAGGGGTAGGAGCAGCCCTGGGATGGGGATATAGGGACAGGAGAGCTGGGATGGGGACATAGGGATGGGAGAGCTGGGATGGAGACACAGGGATGGGAGAGCTGAGATGCAGACATAGAGGGGAGGGTCCCGCAGCCTGGGGGAGTGGGGATCCCACCGGTGAAGAGGTCGGAGGCAGGACTCTGGAGGCTCCCACTCGTCCTCCAGAGCAGCTCTAGCTCCCGGCGTTGCTCCCGCCACGCCTTGTCCTGGTGATCCACGCGGCCCAGGAACAGCCCATCATAGCCCATCTGCGGGGGGGAGCGTGGGTAGAAAAGAGGTGCTCAGAGCTGGGTACCCCACAGGGGGATCAGGAGGTCTCGGGGGGGGTCCTACCTGCGCGAAGGTGGCTGCGCTCTGCCGCGAGTGGCCAAAGGGGTCGATCTGCCAGGCCAGGCGGGGCAGGGCGCAGGGCCCCAGCTCCCTGCGCAGGAAGCCCCGGCCCAGCCCCAGCTGCTCCAGCCCCGCGCTATAGTGAGTGACCGCCTCATCCGCCATGCTCCAGCCACCCCCCACCAGCTCCAGCCGCCCTGCAGGACGGCATAGGGGATATAGGAGATTGGGGGGATATAGGAGACAGGGTGACATTGGGGTACTGAGACAAGGGCCATGGAGAAGGGGACAGGGGCACCTCCTGCCAGCAGCACCCCAAGTCCCTCTGGGTTCCTCCCTAAGCTTCTCATCCTCCCACTTTGATGCACATACCCCCCCCCATGCACATCTTGCCCCACGTCCCTGTGTCCCCCAGTGTCACACCAATCCCCACCATGTCCCTGTGTGCCTCTATGACACCCCAATCCCTCCCCATGTCCCTGTGTACCCCCCCCAACCCCCTCCTATGTGCCCCCCATGGTCCTCAGGGACACAGGACCCCACCCTGAGGTGCCCCCACATCCCCCCGCACCCTGCTCCACAAGCTGGCGCATGGTGTTCCGGGTGGCCTCGTCCTGCAGCCGCCACCAGCGAGCCAGAAAAGCCACCTCAGCGTAGATGAAGCGCCGGGCAGGCTCGGCCACCAGCTGAGCCACCACTGAATCCAGGATGTACTGAACGCCCGCATGCTGCACATCGTTCCGCACTAACGGAGACAACCAAGGGGGCACAGGGATATGTTAACAGCCATGGGGACAAGTGGCATCGGGTAGGGGGTGTGGTTATGGCATGGGAGGGACAGGGGCACAGTGATGGCCAAGAGGGTGGGAGGGACACAATAGCCAGGGCATATAATGGGAGGGGGGAATACAAGGGGGTCTCGGCATCGCTCCACCTGCATTTGGCAGTACTTCACCCCTATGGTGGCCCTGGGGATGTCACCACTGTCCCTGTGGTGGCCTCAGGTACGTCACTTCCACCCCCACTGTGGCCTTGGGGACATCATTGTCCCGGTGGTGGCCTCATGGATGTCACTTCCACCCCCATGGTGGCCTTGGGGACCAGCCCCTCCGCACGGTGACAGAGACACCACCTCCATAGAAGTACTGCTCCACCGTCTTGAGCCAGCCCACGTCGTCATGCGTGTGGGGCACAAGGTGCACGTTGAGGAGGTCGGGGCGCGTCGGGGGACAGGACTGCGGGCAGAAGCGGAATCTCAAGGGACTCATAGGGGGCTGTGCCCACACCGTGTAGGATCCTTCCCCCGCCCCCCGTCACCCCCAGTGTTTCTGGAGGAAGCCGTTGCAGAGGAGCCAGTGACAGCGCCAGCACCCTCAAACCCCCCCTTACGGCCCCCGTCCCAGCCTCTCACACCCAGCCCATGCCGGGCACTTTCCTTTCCCATTCCCCAGGCCCAGTTTCCCTCTCCCAACGCCGCACTGTTTCTCCCACCCTCTCTCTTCCGGTTCTCCCAGTTCCCTTCAGTCTCTCCGGCCCCCGGCCCCCCCGTTCATGCCGGGCCCAACCTTGTACCCGCAGCCCAGGGCCGCCGCCGCAAGCAGCAGCGGAACTGCCACCACCGCCCCGGGCGCCGCCATACCGCTCCCGGGCGCGGTCATGTGGCCAACAGTTCACATGACCCGAGGGGGGCGGCGTGCCCCCACCCCACCCACTGTAACAGCGACAACCAATGGGCGGCAAGGAGACAGAGAGTCCCGCGCTCTGATTCGCTGCTGCGCACGGACACTCCCCCGACGCGGGCGGTGACGTAGCGGACTCTAGTCATTGAGGAAGAGGAGAGCCCTGATTGACACCGCGAGCCCCTCCTTCCGGGGCGGGCGTTAGCAACAGCTCCAGCCAACGCCCAGTAACCAATCACATGCGGCGGCTCCCGAAACTCCGCCCTCGATGAGCGGTGGTTGGTGGAGAGTGAAGGGCAGCTTTCTCCTTCAATGGGGCATGGAAAAGCCGCCCCCCTCAGCGGGGCACCCAGAGCCAAGGGCTCGCCTCAGGCCCTCCCGGACCCCCCCCCATGAGCCCCCAGGCCTCAGGGGGCTCCAAGCAGGGTCCAGCCCTCACAAGCGAAGCAGCCCCTTTATTGCGCCGGCCCGGCCGTCACCATGGTGGGGACATGGGCTGCGGGTTCTGCAGGTAGGACATCACAACAGCTGAGATGGAGAGCCTGCAGCGGGGAGGAAAGAGACCGGCTCTGGTGCCTGCTCCACAGGGAACATGGCCCCTGGGCCCTGCCGCCACTCACATGAAGCTGCTCATCATCTGCTTCGTGTCCTCGGAGCTGCGGGAGTTCGCAAAGCTGATGAAGGAGCAGTAGACGGCGATCCAGGCGCACCACTTCAGCTGTGGGTGAGGGGTACGGCATGGGCATGGGCATGGGCCCTGTGTCCCCATAGCACCCAAGGATGGGCCCTGTGTCCCCATAGCACCCTGGGCATGGTCATGGGCCCTGTGTCCCCATAGCACCTTGGGCATGGTCCCGGTGTCCCCATAGTGCTCTGGGCACAGTTCCTGTGTCCCCATAGCACCCTGGGCATGGGCCCTGTGTCCCCATAGTGCTCTGGGCACAGTTCCTGTGTCCCCATAGCACCCTGGGCATGGGCCCTGTGTCCCCATAGTGCTCTGGGCACAGTTCCTGTGTCCCCATAGCACCCTGGGCATGGGCCCTGTGTCCCCATAGCGCCCTGGGCACGGTCCCCACCCGGTGCTAGTGCCGGTGCCCCCACCTTAAGCATGAGCCCGCACATGCTGAAGACCATCCCCAGCAGGTTCATGTAGTCGGGTGTGGGGTCCTCCAGCGCCGGGTTGGTCTCGGTGGCCGGTGGCTTGTACCTGGGGGCGGCGCTGTCAGAGGTGCCGTTCCCCCCCGTTCCCCCTCTGGTCACCCCGTTACACTCCCGGTGCCCCGGTCCCACCTGGCCACCCGTGCCGGCCGCCGCGGGTCCGCCATTCCGCGCCGCTGCCCACTTCCGCCGCCACCGGAAGAAGCTGCCGCGGCTCCAGCTCCGATGCCGGTCCCAGCCTCGCCAATGGCGTTCCCGCTGCCGCGGCCCACCCGGCCTGAGCTGCCGCAGCGGCAGGTGCGGACACTGGAGTGCGGGCAGGGAGCGGTGCGCGCCGTCCGCTTCAACGGTGCGAGGGGGGAAACAGGGATCCGGAAGCCGGGGGGAAGCGCGGTTCGGGTCCCGTCCCTGGGGAAACGGGACCTGGGGGGGAGGGCACGTGGGACTGCAATTCCCTGCTCCTACCCCATGGAGAGGCAGGGTCTGGTCCTCATCCCGCTGTGTGAGGCGCTGCGGGGGGCTCACTGTGAGCCCCAGTTGCTGGGGTGAGAACAGGCCGTTTGGGATGGTGGTGGGGGGGGTCACCGCATTGCCCCCCCATTCCAGTGGACGGGAATTACTGCCTGACCTGCGGCAGCGACAAGACTCTCAAGCTCTGGAACCCACACAAGGGCACAGCGCTTCGCTGCTACCAGGGCCACGGCTACGAGGTGCTGGACGCCGCCGGGTAAGGGGGACTGGGGGGACCCCAGCTCCGTGGGTGGAGCCCCCAGACCCACTGATGGGGTCCCCCCGTGTCCGTCCCCCGCCAGCTCTTTCGACAACAGCCACCTCTGCTCCTGCGGCGCCGACAAGACGGTGGCGCTGTGGGACGTGGCCACTGGGCAAGTGCTCCGCAAGTACCGGGGACACGCAGGGGTGAGGTTATGGAGGGGCTACGGTGGGGAGCTGGGGTCTTTGGGAGGGATCTAGGGGCTGAGGGAGGGAACTGAGGGGCTCCGGAGGGGTTTGAAGGTTCCCTGAGGGACACTGACTCCTGCTTCTCTCACAGAAAGTGAACTGTGTTCAGTTCAACGAGGAGGCCACTATCATTGTGTCAGGTAAGGGAGTTGGTTTTGGGGGAGGCTGTCAACACTAGAACCCCCCCCCATACCGTTTTCTTCCCCCAGGCTCTATTGACTCCACCGTCCGGTGCTGGGACTGCCGCTCACGCCGCCCCGACCCCGTCCAGGTGCTGGATGAGGCCAAGGATGGCGTCTCCAGTGTGAAGCTCTCCAACCATGAGATGCTTTCAGGGTGAGGCCCATGGGGACCCCCCCCCGTCCCCTACAATTCGGTGCAGCCGGGAGGGGCGCCACAACAGCAATTCCCCCCTTACCTTATACCCAGCTCTGTGGATGGCCACATCCGGCGCTATGACCTCCGTGCAGGGCAGCTCTACTGTGACTATGTTGGGAGTGAGTGAGCACCAAACCAGGGTGCTCAGGCCCCAAAACAGAGCCGGGGGGGGTCCTGTGCAACACCCCCCCCCAAAATCCCATGTGCTCCCCAGGCCCCATCACCAGCGTGTGCTTCAGCAAGGATGGGCAGTGCACCCTTGCTGCCAGCCTTGACTCCACACTGCGCCTGCTGGACAAGGACACGGGCGAGCTGCTGGGCGAGTATGAACCCCCTCCCCAGCGCCCTGTGCCCTGCCCAGGGGGTAGGAGTTTTGGGGACCCCCCACTTCCCCGTGTCCCCTCCATAGGTACAAGGGCCACCACAGCACGACATACCGGCTGGACTGCGTGTTGAGTGAGCAGGACACCCATGTGGGCTGTGCCTCTGAGGATGGACAAGTCTACTTCTGGGACCTTGTGGAGGTAAGGGGGTGAAAGGAGGCACGGGGGGTGCAAAACCATGTTTTGGTGTCCCCCCCCCCCCATCTTCTCACCCCCCGTGGTTTTAGGGCTCACTTGCTCGCAGCTTGCTGGTGGGCCGTGGCGTGGTGCAGTCTCTCTCTTTCCACCCCACCTTGCCCTGCCTGCTTGCTGCCACTGAGGGCCAGATCCAGCTCTGGCGGGAGGACTCCTTCCAAGAGCAGGGGGATACAGAGATGTGATGTGGGGAGTTGGGGGGTCACAGCCTGGGGGGGACCCCCTCTGTGCCCCCTAAGATCCAGGAATAAACCTGCTGTGCGGAGGAACTGTGGTGCTTTATTGGGAGCAGCTCAAATAAATACAAGCACTGGAAGGGGACACATACACACATGGATGGATTGGAACCCCTGCAGAGGTAGTTGGGGCTCAGCCCCTCACAAATGGGGGGTCCTCAACCCCCCCCCCAAAGTGGGGGTTCACTTCCCAACCTCCAGATCTGCCCCAGCACCATGTCCTGCTGGATCCAAAGGGAAAGCATCAGCTCTCTGGGCAAACGTCTCTGCCACCAACAGCGGGAAGACAAGGGAGGCATCAGCATAGACCTGGGGGCAGGGAAGAAGGGTGAGAATTGGGGACCCCCTCCGGGTACCCCCAAATCCTTCCCTTACCCCATCTCACCTTGATGGGGGTGGCATCCATGCGGATCTTGCCCCAGGACACAGCCTCATCTGGCCGTGCTCCCGAGTCGGAGCCATCAAACTCCTGTGCTGTGTTCACGTAGACAGAGAAATCGGCCCCGTTCCTCTGTGGGGCAAAAACGGGGGTGACCCCTGACCCTGGGAGGGGGGATTTGGGGGGGTCCCTCCTATGTCCTCACCATGAGGTTGGCATTGGCAATGTGGTGCTTCACCAGGCCCCCACCCAGGATGATCATCCCTGTCTTCCTCGCGAAGATGGCCTCGGTGTTGATGAGGCGCAGGTCTGCAGAATGGGTGCTGTCATGGGGGACCCCGATGGCCAGGGGGGCCCCAGTGTCCAGTCCCCCAAGGGGACACACTGACCTTCCACTATATCCAGCACCAGCCCCGGGCGCTTGTAGGAGTGGAAGAAGATCATGTCCCCGAGGGAGCCGTCGGTGAGTGCTGGGCTCAGCACCGGGATCTTGTTCTAGAACACAGTGTGAGCACAGGCAAAGAGGGGATGGTGTCACCCCCCCCATGGTGATCCTGTGTCCCTCATGTCATCCCCTCACTGTGTCCACCAACCTTCTGTGCCCAGTAACAGACTGACTCTGGGTTGTTGATCTCCTGGCCCAGCCGTGCGATCATCCTTGACGGGGTCCACTTTGTGCCCTGTGGGAGCAGCACACTGAGCCCCCCCCCCCCCATGTCTCCCTGTGTCCCCTTCAGTACCCCATTCAAGTCGCCCACCTGTGTTTCCTGCTCGTCCACCATCTTCTCCAAAATGGGCATCAACCAGTCCTCAAACTTGCAATAGTTATCGTTGGGCACCAAGAGGTTCCCAATCCTGGGAATCAGGATCAGGAGCAGTCCTGGAGGAGACCCCCATGCCCCAAAGGGGACCCCATGTACCTGTTGATCCCGCTCTGGCGCAGCTCCTGACCCCTGAGGCTGAAGTCCCCGATGTAGGTGGGCGCCAGGCACTTGATGAGATCTTCCTCCACCCCCCCGGCCGTGGTCACCAGCACGTCCACCTGGGCAGGGGGCCAGACAGCGTTGGGGATGCCCTGGGACAACCCCGAGAGGGCACTGGGAATGCCACAGGACACAAAGAGCGCAGGCTCTCTCCTTGGACCACCCCCCCGGGGGGCCGCACGCACCATGTTGTGCTGCACCAGGTACCGGATGCTCTCCCGGACGCCGGAGCTGATGAGGTTGGACGTGAAGCCCAAGAAGATGGTGCAGCCCGAGGGCGGCCGCTGCCCGCCCAGCCCGGCGCGGCCCCGCTCCTCCTCGCTCAGCGGCTCCAGCTTCGCCTCGATCTATGGGGGCGGAGGAGAGGGGTCAGGACCAGACCCGGGACCCCCCCTCTCCCCGCCCCGGTCCCCGGTTCGCACCATGCGGTGGATCTCGGCGGCGGCCTGCGCGAAGCTGGTGGCCTGGAAGCCGGTGGTGAGGAAGGAGCGCAGCAGCGCGGCGTGGTTCGGGCCGCCCGCGAAGTCGTAGCCGCGCACCGGGAGGGCGTCGGGCGGCAGCGGCCCGCTCGGCCTCAGCACGGCCCGAAGCGCCGCGGCGGGGACGGACCCCGGCGCCGCCATCGCGCTCCCGCGGCTCCTTTTCACCGCTCCGCGCCGCCGCTGAGCGCCGCCATCTTGAAGGCGGGACGGTGGCCGAGGAGGGGCAAGACTCCCAAAAGCGAAAAGGGTGGCGCCGCCCGCTCCATCCCCTGCGGTGCCCCAAACCAGCCCGATTTCGCCCCAAAACCACCGTGTCTCCAAAATCCGTTTAATACCCAGGAACAAGCACCAGGCTGCCAGCCCCAGCGAGGGCCCCGGGACCGGCCCGTGGCTCTTCCGTGTCGGGGGGGCTCAGATGGGACCCTGCGCCCTACAGGGAGTCCCTGGAACCCTGGTTGGGTGCAGTGTTAAGGCGAGACGGCAGCAGCAGCATCAGGTCCGGAGCCTCCACACCTCGACCGAGAGGCCCCCCGAGGCGGCTGCCACCACATCACCCTCCACGCTGATCTGAGGGGGAACAAGAGGGAGGTCAGGGCACTGCTTGGGGGGCACTGCCCCACCCCACGGAGCCCCTGGTCCCGGGACAATCGCAGAAGACATTGCAGAGAGCAGGATGCTTGCACACACGTGTACACGCATATGCAGGGGTTACACAGGTGTGTGAGAGCCTCCTCACCCCATTGAGCACTTCATCTTGCGTCCAGGAGCAGATGGTGCGGGGAGGGTCCGTAGGGACGTGTATCTGCAACAGAGCAAAAGCCCATTGACATGCTCCAGCCCCACACCATGGGGGTCAGAGCCCCCCAGACCCAGTGCTCTGAGATGGGCACAGGGGGAATCTCACCCGCAGTGACCTGTCGATAGAGGTGGTGTAGAGGGAGCCCAGCGAGTGCCAGAGCCCTGTGATCTGCAGCCGGTGCCCTACATCGAAGTACTGCACGGAAGGGGCACAGAACCCCAGTGTGAGAGCTCAGGGTACCCCCTGTGCTCCCCAACCTCCCTCCTCGGGGGCCCTACCTGTGTGGGCTGGAAGCTGCCGGTGCTGTTCCCAAAGACATAGACCTGGCCACGGTTGTCCCCAGCCCAGAGCTCTGCTCCCTGGTAGGACATGGAGACCAGATAGCTCTTCAGCTGTGGGATGAGCAGGTACAGAGAGCATGAGGGGCTCCTGCTGCCCCCCACATCTCAGGGCCAACATTAGAGCTGGTGCTAAGGGACAGACTCCCCTTGTCCCCCCGTTCTGGGGGGGGTTGGACCCACCTGCAGTCGCTGGAGGACCCTGGCAGCCCGTCGATCATAGACAACGAGCGTCCGGTCCTCGCTGCCCGACAAGATGAGCTGCTCATCAGCCACCAGGGCCAGGACGGCACTGGTGTGGGGCTTGTAGCTGTGCACCGGGGGCTGCCCAGCTGCACCAGGACAAGGTGGGGGGTGTTGAGCTGAGAACGCCCCTTCATCCCATGTACCCCCTCCCCCAGTCCTGGGCAGCACCAACCTCGCAGGTCATAGATGGTCACAGTCCTGTTGAAGGTGCCAGTGATGAGGACGTTGGGGCGATAGGACAAGCACAGCACAGCAGCCTTCTCCCTGCAGGCAAGGAAAGGGATGGGGGCAGCTGCCCCCCCACTCCTGATACCCCCAAAACACCCTCCCCCCCCCAGGGCATTACCTGATCTCCCCAAACTGCTGCCCCTCAGCCTCCAAGTCCCACAGCTTCACGGTGCTGTCCCAGGAGCCTGAGCACACTTTGTTGTCTTGGGAGTCCAAGCACCAGACCCAGCCCTTGGGAATCATGGAATGGGGGTGGATTGGGAAGAAGGGCAGAGACACCTTCCACTACAGCAGGCTGCTCCAAGCCCCATCCAACCTGGCCTTGAGCACTGCCAGGGATGGGGCAGCTTCTCCTCCAGTTTTTCCTTGGGATCACCCCAACTCAGGGCTCTGGATGAGCTCATGACGTTCCCACCTTGGTCCCTCTGAATCCATTCATTCCCTCCTGCTCCACGTATCAGCAGACTCAAACCCGTGCCTGGGCTCACAACTGCTCCAGGACCCCCCCCAGAATGCAACAACAGGGACTTGAAGGGGACGGGGGGGGGGGGAATAATGCCCATGCCCCCACCTTGTGCGTCCCAGTGCGCTCGGTGCCGAGGGTCTTTGCCAGCACGCTGCCGGGGGCCCGGCCGAGCTGCTGCAGGTCCCACACGTTGACGTTGCGGTCGCGGGCCCCCGACACACACAAAGTCCCCCCCTGTGACAGGGGAAGGAGACAGAAATGAGGTAGGGACCCCCTCCTTTAACTGCCACAGCCCCGACTTTAGCCTGGCACGGCCCTACCTGCAGCAGGAGGACGGTGTCAACAGAAGCAAAGTGGCCCTCGTCCAGGGAGAAGTGCTCCATGGGGGCCCCGTTGCCCCCCCAGCGCTGCAGATGCTCCTCCATGTCCACACAGGCAGCTGACCAGTCGAACCCCTCTTCTGTGGGGAGGCAGAGAGGACCCCAAAACTGATGGGGAGGACGGGGGGACCCAACGCAGCCACTTTGCCCTAAGTAGCAGGGATGTGGGGTGAAGGAGGGTGGTTCCTGGACCCACACCTCACCTTCCAGGACGGGGAAACGGCCACGGGCGCTGCGCTGGAGGCGGAGCCGCCAGGTAACGACGTCCCGGGCCAGGGCCCGCAGCACGCGGCACACGCGGGGCAGCACCTCCCGTACCTCCCGCGCCCCGAGGTACCCGCAGATTCGCAGCAGCAGCTCTGGCGGCAGCGCCAGCAGCGACCCCGCGCCTGCCGGCGGCGGCACCGGGACCCCGCGCTCCTCTGCCGGCCCCTCCATGGCTGAGGGGGAGCGAGGGGGCGCCTGAGCACCTTCCGGTGGCCGGTAATAGCGGGACCCGTCCCCCCCGCACTCGGGTACTCTTTGAACTCCCGGTACCGGAACCCACCACCACAACGCGGCCCCCGGTACCGGGACCACCTCAAAGTCCCCGTCCCTTCCCCCCCCTCCCCCCCCGGCTCGTTCCGGCACCGGGCCCAGCCCCGCCGCGTCCCGTCTCCACGGCCACCGTAAGCCCCACTTCCGGCGCGACAAACCCCCACCCCCCAGTGACCAGCGCCTCGCCCAATGAGCTTGAGACCCTAGTGTTGGCGTCATCGAGCTGCGACGGGACACATCCACGTGTGGACACCGGGAGCACCGGCATCAAACCTCGTGTCCCGCGTCGTGTCCGTCCCCCGTCCCGTCCCCGTCCCCCCCCCCCCGCCCGAATAAACGACACCGGGACGGGGACGGTCAACAACAGACTCTTTACCGAGCAGGAGAAGGGGGGAACGCGGCCCCCCCCGCACCCCGTCCCTGCGGGACACCCACCAACACCTCCCCCCTCCCCCCATTCCCACCCTGTAAACGGTAAAAAACGAAAAAAAAAAAAAAAAAACCGGGGAAAGAAACCACAAGAAACGTGGCACCGACTCGCTCACGACGAAGCACAACGGCGGCGGCTCGGCCCGGCCCCCCCCACCCGGCCTCCCGCTTCCCCCCCCTCCCCCCCGGGCCGGGGCCGCTCTACATGTTCTACGCATGAGGATGGGGCAGGGGGGGAGGCACCATGCGGAGGGGGAGGGGTGGAAACATCCTACAACGGAAAAAGGGGGGGAATCCCCGGTTTTGGACCCTTTCGCCCCGGTTTTTGCTCTCCCCTCCCCCCCTTCAGGGATTTGGGTTGCCCCTTCTGGGGGGCTACCCCCCCCCCCCCAACCCCCCTTTCCCTTCCTTCCCCTCCACACCCCGGGGGTGAAAGCAATGGCGGGGCTCCCCCCAGGGGACGGGGTGCAGCGCGGGGCACCGCCAAACCCCTCCCTGTGTGCAGTGGGGGGACACGCCCGCTCCCAACCACTGTCCCGACGGCTTCCCGACCTGTAAGAGGGTGGAAAATGGGTTCAGGGGGAGCCTGTTCGTCATGGAGGGGGCCCATCTGCCCACCCTCCGGTTTGGGGGGGCTGTAGCCCTCCCCCCAGACCTGATTCCGATGCTTTGGCCTGGCCTAGACCCCATAGAATGCTGCCAGCCGGTCCTTGAGCAAAGGTGGGAACTGCTCCGAAAACTGCTGCCAGTTTTCCTCCCCAACCTGGTCCTTGAAGCCATGAAGGATCTGGGTAGGGGAAGGGGGAGCTTGACACTAAGGGGGACCCCTCACCATGGAGGTGGGGCTCCTCACTGTCCCCATGTCCCGTCCTGACCTTATAGAACATGTCCCGCAGGTCATCTTTGGGGCTCACCCAGGATGCGACAGCATCGCAGAAGAAAATGAAGTCCTGGGGGGGGGAAGTGTTATAATGGGATAACCCCCACCCCCAGCACCCCAAAACCACTGCTGGGTGTCCCCCCCCCACTCCCCAATACCTGCACGACCCCCCCAGGGTTCACCCCAATCATCACACAGATGCCTCGGAAAGCTGAGTCCTTCTCTTCATTGTCCCGGATGTTCCGGAGAGATGTGCACCTGCAGGAGGAGGGAGGAAGAAAGTGGAGTTCAGTGACACCTGCTCTCCTAATTAGGTGGCGTGGGAACCCCAAAGCTTACCCGCCCCACTCACCAGGGCCGGATGAACTGCTGCAGCATGGGGGCCACCTCCTGCGGGCACACGAAGCCCAAGCGCCCAATGGTGATGGCTGAGGGTACAGGGAGGGCATTTGGGAGGCACAGCAGGGGAAGGAGCTCCCCCCCAGCAACCAGTCCCCCCAAACTCCCATGTGGGGATTCCTCTGTGCCACACCCCCCCCGCCCCCCTTACCTGTGTTTTCTAGGAGGGTTTTGGGGGTGTTGGGGCGATTGATGATCTCTACCAGGTTGTTGAGCACCATCTGGACGTATGGCTGCATCTCTGCCCCTGCAAGCAAGCGGGGGGAGGGGTTATCAGGATTGGGGAAGCTCAGATGAGCTTTGGTGGGGCTGAGGGGGGCCCAAACCACTCACCCATCTGCATGCAGATCTCCCCAATGGCCCAGGTCGCATTGTTGCAGACAGAGATGAACTCAGGGTTGAGGTTGGTGCCCAGGATGGGCATGAATTCAGCTGCGGTGGGAACAGACTCAGTGCCAGCCCCCCCCCAACTTCATTTTGGGCTTCCCCCCCTTATTCAAGCCCCACACGCACCAATGCAGGGCTTGACGTGCACGAAACAAGCCTTGGTGAGGTCACCCAGGAGGGCAAAGGAGCTCTGCCGCACCTCAGGCATGGTGTCCTGTGGGCAGCAGGCAGGGGCTGAGACTGGGGGCCCCCAAACTGGGCTGGGGGGCTCCTAGGTGGAAAAGGGGGGTCCTCCCTTTACCTGCATGCACTGGAAAAGCAGTGTCATGATGTTGCTCCGAGCCACCAACTGCTCCACGTGGCAGCCAAGCCCTTCGGCCAAGCCACTGAGCAGGTCCAGGGCCACGATCATGAAATCCTTATCAGGGGCTTCATACTGTTCCGGGTGCTGGTTGTACATCTGGGGGAGGATACAGGACCCCCATAGTCACCTCATGAAGGGGATGACATGCCCCAGCAACCCCAGCACCCAAGGGCCCACCATGGCTTGAGCCAGTGTCTTCTGCACCAGGGTGACGCAGCGCTGGTAGACAGGCTCGCAGTAGGGCAGGAAACCGCTCTGCAGCGCAGTGGCCACCGAGGACAGGCACTGCAGGCGATGGGGAGGACAGCAATGGGGTGGAAGGGGGATTAAGGCACAGATCAGCTCCCAGATGCTGCCCTCTGCACCTCCCAGCTCACCTCCAGCAGTGGGAAAAGGTCCTTGTCTTCATCCTTCAGCTCATTCCACTTCTGGATGAGTGGAGGCATCAGCTTCTGGATGTATTCCTGATGGGAGAGATCCCAGCATGGGGAAGGGGATACACACAGGGGACACCCCCCCTCAGCCCAGGGACCATCAGAACAGAGAGATCCACACTGGCACTTCGGGATTCGAATGTCTGTTGGCACTCGTCATCATGGGTCCCAGGCCTGCGACATGGAGAGGGGACACACTGGGGTGAAGGGGGACATCCCACACCGTACCGGCTGGTTAAGGTGGTGCCCCACGGAGTCAGCCAGGGTCCCAATGGCATCGTAGAGGATGAGCAGGTTCTTGTGCTGGTACTTGCCAAAGGCAAAGACCAGCGTGTCCAGGATGAAGCTGAGGTATGGCACCAGCTCTGTGCACGCCTCCTCCTCCAGCGTGGCGAAGGCGCTGAGGGGGAGGAGGAAGAGTCAGGATCCCCCCTCAACCCCATTCCAACACTGCCAGGGATACTTCATCCAAACCTCCATTCAACCCATTCCACTGTTCCACAGCCCTTCTTCCTGAGATCCTATCTAACTCTAATTCTTCTTCCCACTGGAAGCTGTTCCTCCTCATCCCATTTCTCTATCTCTTGTTCAAAGCCCCTCTCCAGGTTTCTTGTAGCCCCTTTAAGCACTGGGAGCTGCTTTAAAGTCCCCCTGGAGCCTTCTCCAGCCTCTCGTTCCCAGCTCTCAGCCTGGCTCCAGAGCAGTTAAATCTCTGTGGCCTGCTCTGCCCCCCTTTCATCACAGCACCTCAAACTCCTCCTCCCACCCAGATCCAGCACCCAAAACCCCAACCCTGGGGGTGGTCCCCACTGTCCCTGTACCTGCAGGCAGCCTCCTGCACTCGCTTGTTGCTGTCGAGGATGCGCTTCAGGAGCTCGGTCATGAGAGGCTTGAGGTACATGTCAGGGGGCTGGCTGACCACCCAGTGCGCGTAGCGGCTCAGTGTCCAGCACGCGATGGAGCGCACCAGTGCCTTCTTGTCCGCCAGGCACCGGATGAGGTGTGGGATCAGCTCGGGCAGGTACGGCACCATCCCCTGCATGCAGCCTGCGGGCATGGGCACCGTCATGCACAGCACCCGAGAAGCAGGAGCACAGCACCCACCTTCAGCAATGGCCCCCAGCACCACGAGCACAGTACCCACCTTCAGCAATGGCCCCCAGCATGAGCATAGTACTCACCTTCAGCAATGGCCCCCAGCACCAGGATGCCTGACTCCTTGATGACCCACTCAGGGTGGAAAAGCAGCTCCTTGAGCAGTGGGAGCAGATGTGGGAGCAGCTCTTCCCGGAAGACATTGGCCAGGACGTCCAGCGCGGCAGCCGAGCACTTCCCTGCGGGGCCAGGGGGTCAATCCCACCCCAACGAGCTCCATCTCATCCCATGTTGGGTTTTATCCCCCCAAAGCCGAGGCTGCCACTCCCAAAAGGACACCCCCATACTCAGGTTCCAGTCGGAGAGAGTGTCATCGTCATCCTCATCCTCTGCATCCTCGGGGTCCTGTGCCCTCTCCTCCTCGTGCTGCAACGTGACTGTGCGGGACTTGTGGAAGCGGGGCTTGATGTCCTGCTCGCTGTCGGGAATGGCCTCGTCCTCCTCCACGTCCCCCTGTGGGGACAACGGGACATCATGTCACACCGCAGGGAACCTGCATCACCTACCCTAGGGATCCTCAGCCCGACGGATCAGACAGTACGAACACAACAGCCATCACCAGCATCAGCTCTGAAGCTGTCATCACATCCAGGGGGACTCAGGGTGGCTCCTGCTGTACCAGCCCCTCCAGTTTAACCACTTCCAGCCTCACAGTGCAGAAGGAGGAATAGGAAGGAGCCCCCTTCCCATTCCCACCCCAACCTCACACCTTGAGCAGGATGATGTCGATCTCCGAGTACTTCATACCATTCACCAGGATGGGGATAAGCCTGAAAAAGGGGTGGAATTAAGGGGCAAGGAGGGTCTTGCGGATGCTATGGGACGAGGTGGGGGTGCTCTGAGCACTCACTGCACCAGATGGGAGGTCAGCACCTCCTTG